CAGAAGTAGACAGAAGAATATAATGTATCCCTATGTACTTGTCACCTACCTAGCACCGACAATTATCAGCTTGTCTTGTTTTGTCTATTTGTACCTAAAAGTGTTCCTTTTTTTCCACATCCTCTCCAGTATTTATTATTATTCGTATATTTGATGACTGCCATTCTGACTGGTGTAAAATGAAATTTCAGTGTAGTTTTGATTTGCATTTCCCTAATTGCTAATGATGTTTAATATTTTTTCTTATTTGTTGGTCATTTGTATTTCTTTTGAGAAGTGTCTGTTTAATTCATTTGCCCATTTATTTTTTGGTGTAAATTGTTTTAAGTTCTTTATATATTCTAGATATTAATGCTGTGTCAGAAAAGTAGCTAGCAAAGGTTTCCCCCGTTCTGTAGGTTCTGTCTTCACATTCCTAATAATTACTTTTGCTGGGCAGAAGCTTATTAGTTTGATGCTGTCCCATTTAACTCTTGGCATTATTTCCTGAGCTGTAGGGATCCTACTGAGAAAGTCATTGCCTGTGCCTATATGCTAGAGTGTTGACCCTTTATTTTATTCTGAGAGTTGCATAGTTTCTGTTCTAATTCCTAGGTCTTTGATCCATTTTGAGTTGGTTTTTTTTCATTGTTTGACCCTTTATTTTATTCTGAGAGTTGCATAGTTTCTGTTCTAATTCCTAGGTCTTTGATCCATTTTGAGTTGGTTTTTTTTCATTGTTGGTATATAGGAAAGCTATTGATTTATTTATTGTGTGTAGGGTGAAAGATAAGGATCTAGTTTCATTCTTTTACCTGCAGGTAGTCAGTTTTCTTAGCACCATTTGTTAAAAAGGGTGGCTTTTTTCCAATGTATGTTTTTGGCACCTTTATCAAGGATCAGATGACTGTAGATGTGTGGGTTTGATTCTTGTTTTCTATTCTGCATCATTCGTCTATGTCTGTTTTTATGCCAGTACCATGCAGTTTTTGTTACTACAGCTCAGCAGTATAATTTAGAGTCAGGTATTGTGATGCCTCCAGCATTGCTTTTTTGGCTTAGAATTGCTTTGGCTATTCTAAGTCTTTTGTTCTTTCAAATGAGTTTTAGGACTGTTTTGTGTAGTACAGTGATGAATGTCATTGGTATTTTGATGGGAATTGCATCGAATCTGTATATTGCTTTCGGTTATATGGGCATTTTAACAGTGTTAATTCTGCCTGTTCATGAACATGAGAGGTCTTCCCATCTTCTAAGATTCTCTTCAATTTCTTTCTTCAGTGTTTTATAATTTTCATTGTAGAAATCTTTCACCTCCTTGATTAGATTTATTCCTAGTTTTTTTTGGGGGGGGGGCTATCATGAATGGAATTATTTTCCTGATTTCTTAACAGATTCATTGTTGGTGTATAGGAAAGCTGTTGATTTATTTTATTTTATTTTACTTTTTAAAAAATTATTTTACCTTTATTTTATTTTTTAATTTTTCTTAATGTGGTGCCCCAGGGATCGAACCCAGTGCCTCACTAAGTGCTCTACCACCTGAGCCACAACCCCAGCCACCCCGCAGAAAGCTATTGATTTTTGTATGTTGATTTTGTAACCTGCTTCTTTGCCAGATTTGTTTATTATCTCTAGCAGTCTTTCAGTGGAATTTTTTTGATCTTCTAGATATAGGATCATATTATATACAAACAGTGATAATTTGACTTCTTCCTTTTTGATTTTTTTAATACCTTTTTTTTTTTTTAAATGTGGTGTTAGCAAGCACTCTATCACTGAGCCACAACTCCAGCCCCACTTTCTGATTTTTATACCTTCTCTTGCCTAATTGCTCTGGCTCAAATAAAAAAATTTAAAGTAATACTTAAAAATCAAAATAAAACAAATGGGTCAAATATATTAAATTGGCAGCATAACTACACAGATTTTATTTTAAATGTCTTTACAATGTAGTAATTTTTTAAAACATTTTTTATTTTTTAGTTGTAGGTGGACACAATATCTTTATTTTATTTTTATGTGATGCTGAGGATCAAACCCAGTGCCTCATGCATGCTAGGCGAGCACACTACCACTAAGCCACAACCCCAGCCCTAAAATGTAGTAATTTGACCATGCATTCATAGTGGGATATATCCTGGAGACATAGAATATTGTAAAAAATATATATTATTTTGGTTATTTTTTTTTGTTATGTGGGTAACATTATAGACATTTGTATTAACTTCCTATGGCTTTTGTAAAAAATTATCACAAACTTGGTGGCTTAAAAAAAAAAAATCAAACATTTTCTTATAATTCTGGAGTCCAGAAGTCCAAAATCAGTATCATTGGACTGAAATCAAGGTGTTGGCAGGGCTGTACTTCCCTGGAGGGTGTAGGGAAAAATCTCTTTCTTCCTTGCCTCTTTTAGTTTCCTTGGCTTGTGATTATATCACTCCAATTTCTGTGTCTGTGACCACATTGACTTTTCTTCTGTGTGTTATTCAAATTTCCTTCTGCCTCCCTCTTACAAGGATACATGTGATTACATTTAAGTCCACATGGATATCTAGAATAATTTTCCCAGTTCATGTTCTTTAATTACATCACTTATTCTTTTTTTTTTTTTTTTCAAAATAAGGTAATGTAGTGTTGGCCAACTCTAAGGATTAGGGTGTGGTTGTTTTTTGAGGACCTCTGACTGAGTTAACTACAGTGTCATCATCTTTCTGAAACTCAAATACAGTATGATGAAGCAAATAATTATGTTAATGTCATTAGGAACTAAGACTTAGGGTGTAAGGGAAAACA